AGAGAGAGAGAGAGAGAGAGAGAGAGAGAGAGAGAGAGAGAGAGAGATACTGTGGTCCAACATAAAGGTCGGGCTAATGCTTCCCAGAGGAGGAGCTGACATTAGAAGCAGAATGTCTCCATAAATGCAATCTCTTTCTCCTCCTTCCCCATCGTCCTCCCTCCTTTTTTACGCTTCCTGTGATCTGACAGTGCCTGTGTGTGTGTGTGTGTGTGTGTTGCCTACGATTCCGCTCATGAGAGCCATATATAACAGATAGTCCACTCTAACTCAGCACAGACGAAAGGACGGAGCAGCATGCTGAGAGCTTGTAGACATTTACTGTCTGCTCTGCAGATCAGACACACTGCCTTGTTAAGCGCAGGTCTCTCTAGACCTCTAGGCTTTGGGGAAGTCTACTGAAGACTCTGAGCTGACCTCACTAACCTTTGCCAGTTATGAATAGTCTGGGAACACCAAGGGCAAGATAAACGTATATTAAAGTGTGGGGGCAAATTTGCTGCACGTCTTTTATTCAATTTGCGCTGGCAATCTGCCTGTAATTAGCAGCTGATTTTCTAAGGCAGCAGCTCATTACGTAATCAGACCTGGGACAGCCCTCCAGGTGAAATCTTCAAGTGAAGGTGCTCAGTATGTAGTTCAGAGAGGAGGGATTTATCTGAGATCACCAAGCTCAGAAAAGAAATGATGCTGCGCAGAAATAATTATGCAAAAACATTCTTTTGTATACATTTATTATAATATACTTGTAGGAATTTATACTATTTATGAAAAAGGCGAGAGCGGGAGGGAGAAAATAGAGAAACAGAGATAACAGAACAGCGCAGCAGAAGCTTAACGCAGAGCAGATGGAGGATGGAGATGGTGCTGATACGGATGACGTTTCAATAGAATACAGAGCTAAATGTCATATCAAATTTAATTAGGAAAACATATTTCCCATCCTCTCTTTCTTTGGTGCTGTAAAATAGTTATTTTAAACACTCCTATGCCAATCGTGCTCAGGATATTTTGTACAAAACTGGACCTAATAAATTAGGGAGGCACCAATACCGATACTGGGACGATACTGACTCACATAGCTGATTAGATACATTATAGATAGATACATTATATACCAGAATATTCATTTCTATTTGACCAATTTTTTGGCTGCATTTTGAATTGTAAATCTCGTTGATGAGTCATGCATGATGTGGCCTTACACATAAAGGAATGATCCCAGTCACTTCCACACAGTGAGGTGTACAACTTATTAATTAAACTCTTGTATTGGCTCGGTACTCTGTGTCGGCCAGCACCCGAAGTCCAGGTAACGCTATCGAGACGGAAAAAGTTGGATCGATGCATCCCCATCGTAAATAGCACGAACCGTAGTGATTCTTCCAGAATGCATCAAAAAAAAGAATTGTGCTTATGTTAGGCGTGCATGTGCGTGTCCATGCGTTTATGTAAGCATCACTTACCTCCTCACTGTACTTGCTGATGTAAGAGTAGATCTCATTGAGAGCGCTGATCATGTTAAACTCTGTGGAGTGGAGTCTGGCCTGTTCTGCCAAATAGGCATTCATGTCCTGGTCACTGATGGCTGGCAGCCGGTTGATGTCAGCGTAGTACCTGAGGACGCAGACATGGGGCAACATTTGGCATCACTCGCAGGCACTCACTGAGTCAATGCAAAAATTCTTTATATAGTCACATTTTTTTGCCATAATATCACTTTCACGAACAATGAATGTCTGGTAATAGACGCTGACAAAAGGCTTTTACATAATCTGATTGCGAAGTGTAGGCATGAAGAAAGAGAATTATGAATCAATTCCCCCAAGTATCCCAGATTTTATTGTAAGAGGATACAAAAAAAGATGTGACAGATGGGCGTATAACGCTCGTACCTCTCTACCCAGCTCTTGTAATTGGGGATATCTTTAGCGTAGAGTAGCTTATTGGATGGAGAGTCTTTGCCCAGGCGGTGCTCCGAAGTGGAGCAAGAATCCATAAAGGTCTGAGCTACTACAGACAGGCAGGCGTCCGTGATGCTGCTCTTATGGATGTCAAACACGAACTGCGGGTTCTTGATCACGTTCACCCAGAAACGCAATGGAAGGCTGGAAAGATGGAGACAAAAAGAATAAGTAAGAGAAGAGTGATCTCACAAGACAAAGGATTGCTTCACCGTATGCCATGGCATGAGGATCTCCTGCATGTGAAATTACTTTTGATGAAAAAAGGCCCTTACCAGTTGCTTTTCCACGTGTGACGTACATCTGTGTCATGAATGTCATGTTTGTCCGCCTGCTCATCCAGGAAGTCAAACATGTATTTGATGGCGAGGGGAAGAGTGCTCCCTCGGTGAACTGTGCTGAACAACGTCTCAAATAGATCGTCGACAAATTTTTGTAAAGTACCCTGGGAAAAGGAGAGTACACAGAGATGAGCAATTTGTGGGCAACGGGAGACAACACTAAAGCAGCCAGAATGCAGTAATGTCATGAAAAGATAACTGAACGTGTGCTCACACCGATGTATGGGAGAATATCTTACCTTGGTAGCTAGCAGCCTGGTCAGATAAATCTCTGAGACCATCTTGCTACCGCGGTCTCCTTCCTTCTGGTCTCCGTGTTCGTGGTTCTTCACCAAGTGCCACACCTTCACACCACTTTCTAGATCAGGGGTTATCATGGGGGCACGTGAGCGGAGGCTGTCGGGACTGCCCGTGTAGCGGAATGAAGAGTCTGTCCAGGGACAAAAAAAACAGATACAGAATTGTCAGTAATCCTAAATGACACAGCCTCTCTCTCATTTCCATCACTCCTTTGTAACACATTACAAAGCTGAATCTTCCATGTTGCACCTCTGCTCTAAAGGCCTTTACACACCGGGGGCGGGATGAATAAGCAACACAAAAATGTGGAATACATGGCTGCGAATTTTTTTGCATCAAAACTATACATACTGGCAGCGATGCAAATATGCAACAGTTGCAACACCTTTTCAACAAAAAGTTTTAATAGATTTGCACAGGCAGAGGACAAACTACCAGGATCCTATTGACCCAGAGCAGAGTCTGGCAGTCGGTCTGAGGTAAATTCTTGTATAACTTAAGCTACTGTAAGCTATTTTATTGAATTTAATTCAAGCCAAATGCTCTGAGTGAATTAGAGTTCCCTCTGGTAACCAGTGTTCTGTATACTGTATGTCTAAGGCTTTTATTGTGAAAGGTAGGAACGGACAGACTGAATCTAGTACTTGGTCAAATTTACTGACGTGCAGATTATTTGCATGACAAAAACACCCCTGGTGTGAAAAGGACTTAAGCTGTGCTGTAAAGGAAATTGCTGTGGTGGATAATTTCATAGAACAGCAAGTAATAAATGAGAGGGGAAGTTGTAAACTCATTTTTCTCTTCATTTCCCTCTTCATATAATCCCTGCCTCACTGACTGAGACAAGGTTGTGTCTAGCTCTTCTTAAAGGCACTCATAATTGGCTCTTCGCTGCCACATTGTACCAATGCCATGTCGAAAAATGTCCCTATCACACTCTAATCAATGCATCAAAAGATCTCTAATTCATTAAGCAGCGAAGCCACTCTCCTTCATCCATACAGTACATCGTCCTCGTCTCTGCTCCTCTGTTCCTGCCTCCTAGCTATTCACTCCGTCTGAATGATGCTGGTTTCAGTTCCCCTAATTAGCCGGCATCTACTCCCGACAGCGGGCTCTCTAGAGATTCAGGATCTGAGGATCTCAATGAGAATCTGACCCGGCTTCAAAGGCCAAGCTGAACAACAAAGCTTTTTGCTGCCGATACAGCCACTTACACCTTTCATATAACACCAACCTGCGCCTTTGCAGTGGCCACTAGGGACCAGGGCCTGAGTTAGGAGGGCTGAATATATGTGCTTGTGTGCAGGGTGGATTGAGGTCCCAAATCTCATTTTAATCCAGTCACTGGTTTTTACCGCTCTGGTTTTTCCTCATCCCCTCCATCCTTCCGGCACCCTCAGCCTTCTCTCCCAACTCTCCTAACACTAAGCAGGGACGAGCAGCTCACTTCTGCTGCAGCCCTCAGCTCCTGGACAGTAGGGAATGTGTTCTGGCAGATTTTAAGGCTCGAGGAGGGGTCGGTGGGACGGGGGCTTTAAAATTGAGTCAAGATGCTAAGTGTTGAACGTGAAATTGGTATGAATCCATCAGCAGGTGTCGAGGTGCAGCTGTGCCTGCTGTGCCAACCCATGATTGATGAGGGACGGGCAGGCGCCAGCAGAGCCTCTGCTTCCTATGCCATGCACGTCCAACTCCGGTGATGGAGCACTCGCACACACAAAGTCAAAATTAAGAAAAGAATGCAAGAGAGCACAGCCTCTCAGCAGCCACCAGCCGCAGCAGCTCATTGCAATTTCATGACGGATTAGAATATCCCTTGTGGATAAGGACGCGGCTACACTTGTCTTTTCAATACGACTTTTGTGACCGGATGCGTCAGATTGGAACTCAGCTGTGTCTGCATTTGTGTGTCCACACTTACACCTCCATACGACCTGCCCGACCGGATAGTGATCAGATAAACCCATTACATTTCCTATAAAGTCTTCACAACAAAAGTCCCCCTTCATTATTGCTGCTTACTCTTCCTCCCTTCAGTATGAGTAGACTTGATTTTATTCGAGAATAGCCGCTGACAAAGCTCCGTTTATTTGGTGATAAATACACTTAATTTCCTATAAATTCTTCACAATAAAAGCCCCCCATTACTTCTACAGCTTAATCTTCCTTTCTTGTAGTGATCAGTAGTGTTTTATTGAAGAATAGCTGCTAAAAAAAGCTTTGCTAATTTGGTGATGAACACATAAACACCTCTAATTTAGTCAGCAAAAGCTCCTGCTCCAGAGGTGGGGAACTCCCGTGTGGGAAATTATGCATCCTGGCATGATGGGATGAAAAGATGGCTCGTGTTAACCACTGCCTGAGATATTTGAGAGTAATGATGTAGGTGCAGAACTGCAGAAGCAGCGGGCTAATAAAGATATGATATTAAAATAACAACATGATGCAGATAAGGGTTCCTCCCTTTTGTTACATGGTGTAGAGAGTAACGCACTGTAATGTTGGACCTAAGGTCATCATAGATAAACACATACACTGAAGGATACACAAAGTATCCACAGGTATACAATCCTAAATAAGACTTGTAATTGCTTGGAAGGATTAGCTCCGTTTCTGTGTTAGACAGTTTAAAGGCAGTGTTCATTTTCTATCTCCAATCCTGATAATTGGCCATGCTCACTTTTCTTTTTTCATGTTTCTGTGAAGTATCATTCACACAGAATAATTAGCAATCACACGTTGCCTCGTGCTGCTGTGAGTGTCTGGCATGGGACCACATTTTGCACTCATCAGCACAAAACTACAAGCAGGTGCAAGTGTGCAGGCAGCTACTGTAGTAGCCCACTGTGTCCTGCATAGAATGCATCTACATTATAATAATATCACGGCTTTAAAATCAAACAACAGCTTTATCGCTCCCTCTCTCCTCCGCTTCTACTCTTTCTCTCTCTAGTCTCTTCATTACTGGACCATCCAACAGAGATTGGCCCCGAACTGCAAAGGAAACTGCAGCACACACAATTAGAGAGAGAAAAAGGCTGCAAAAAAAACAAACAAGCCCCTCTGCAGCAAAAAGAAAAGCTGCTCCAAACAGAGCTGACCATGGCTTCGGGGAAAGTGGATTTGGCTTTGTTCATATCTGAAACAACTACGATAAAAAAGTTTCTGTGAGGCAACGAGAACAACAAGATTGCATTTGCATGGAATTAACTGTTGATTACATTTAGCATTTTGCAATTAATGTCATCAATGTCACAACAAGGGTACGAAAAGAGCAATCTGGTCTACTGACTCACCATATCTGCTGATGGAGCTGCGGGATATGCTGGCTGAGGAAGGGATGTTGTATGATGAGGTCTGTTTGGGCACCAAAGCCACAATGCAGCGGTCTGACACCTGTGAGAAGAGACACGTATAACATGAATCGGCTGGTATCATAATGCTCATTTTTAACATTTTAAATTAGAACGGAGTATGGGTGTTAATTCTGAAGAGTTTTCCATGAAAAATGTCTTAGTAAAGGGGTAGATTACATGAAGGAATGTAAGGCCCTTAGTCAATAATCCCGTAAACAAAACACATCCCAAAACCCCTGCGCAACCCATCCCTTCCTGTCATATCTGTGTTCCCTGCTGTTCTCTACCACAGCCCCGTGGCTTTCTTTCAGCAGAGCAGAGTGCTGTGGCTGCATGATGGCTGTACTCAACATGACTGTCATTGTCATCCCCTTCACAAACATCAGAGACATGATGTAAGCTTTGGAACAGGGATAAGACGCTAAGAGGGAGTGAAAGGGAGAGTGAGAGCAGGCGGAAAAGGGAAAGAGAGACTGTCAGAAAGAGAGAGACAAAGACTGAAATGCTGAATGTCACATCTCGTGTACACTTCTCACCCTTAAAGAAAATGGGGTGCGCAGGTATAATAATAGCATTAGAGCAGCATGGAGTCAGAGTCAAAGAGAAAGACGATGTGAAGCATCTGTGTAAAAGATGGTGTGTCATGAACAATAGACAGACACTGGGGTTCACCCCCCCCCCTGTGGTTTGTATTTACAAAGGGCTCTTGGCCCTGTGTGATGTCACTTTAGATAAGCTGAGAAAAACTGAGAAAAACGACAATAAAAAGAACAGTTTTTAAGACACTTCTTAACAGAGATCCTTCATCAGTCTAACAGTGTTTTTAATTATTCACGAGATGGCAGTTTAACTATAATACATTTTTAAAAACATATCACTGTTTATACTATGAGAAAGAGGGGGAATTCACACCAGTGCTGACCACGGTGGAGATTCAAATGTTAAGGAAAGATAGTCGCACACTCAAAGCCACGATGCAAAAGATATCTAATTAAATAAACCACTGTTCGTACGCCAGCACAACCCTGTTTTACAAAAAATTAAAACATAGCAAACACAACTTGTGTTTTTTTTCTGAAAGCCAAAACAACAAACAGCTTGTTGGCTGGCATTTACAGCCCACCCCAAGGAAGGATTTCTGCTTCAGACCTACCGAAGAAAGAAAACTGACGAATCTCCAGTGAAGATATAAACAAAAGGCAAATGCCAGGCTCCAGAAAAATACCTCAAAGACTCTATAGGAACAGAAATGTATTCTTTTCATTTGCTTTAGAGGAAATTGGCTCCTTCCCATCCCTTGTTGGAGAATAAGCTAGTGGATGTCGGGATGAGCATTTACAGAGTCCCTCTGTTTGCTCTCTAAACCCAACCGCCTCTCATCCTCCCTCAGTCTGGTCCTCACCCTTTTCTTCCCCCACTCTTGCCAAACTAATCTCGCCTGCGCTATTAGTTGGAGTTGCTATCTGGCCTCTACTGTCCTCGCAGGAGAAACACTTGAAACTGGAAATGGAATCTGGAGGAATCCTCTTAAAAGATGCAACTCTGTCTTCCTAACCCCCTCCCCCTATCCACGACCGCCATCTTTGACCCTTCTATCTCTCACCTCACCTCCTTCTCATTTGTCTCCGCTTTCCTAAACCTAATTTCTAAGGCATCTCCATACTATAGGCTCCTCTAGACTGATGATTGATGATGCACGGACCAACTCTGATACACCAACAGTGTAGACTTCCGTGACGTTTCACCTACTATTCATGTGATACATGGGGAGCATGAAATAGCTTTTCTGCCACCCTTCCCTTTATGCCTCCCTCCATCTCTTTCTCTCTGCTTTTTATTTTTTCAAGGCTGACAGAGAGGATATACAGCAGAGATGGGTCCTTGTGATAGAGTAAATGATTGAAGGCGTGCAGATTCGCCCTTCAGGGATAATCCAGTGTGGGGCTGATAGTGGGCAGGTGTGATAAGGGCTGTGGGCCCTGCCTGTGATAAGACCTTCCATTAGACGGTGCAGAGCCGAACCAGACAGCAGAGTGTGGTCAGCCCCTATCTTTCTTTTCTCAGCCCTCTCCACACAAACCACAGCCCTGGTCCCAGCCTGTTCCCCCTCCGTGTCCCATCTCAGCTGGACTCATGATGCTTATCACACCTGTCCACTCTGCCCATCACACTTGTCCACTCTGCCCAGTAGCTTGGAAACACACAACCTGCACATATGTGCCCATCTCGTCAGTAATGACGGAATTTAACTCTTGCATTGGTGAATCTTTCTAAAAGTTAAATGCCAATCTGCTGGCAATTTAATGGAATTCAAGTCGGGTTTTGATCAATAAAATGTGTCATTAAAGTTTTTACAAAATACTACGGTTGTTGCTATTGGAGATATGATTAAGGGTGCAGCTGCAGCGGCGCAGGATTAATCAAATATGTCTCTTCCTCTTCATTGGGAAAACACTATTCCTCAAATATTTACTCAATAATCATCCTGCTAAAAACCTTCACATCGAGTCCCGCAGGAATAAGACCCAAAACACGGAAACTAGTGAATATTTTTTGCACTTCCAATTCCCTCGTCTCAAAGTCAATGTTTTTTTTTAATGGGTTTTTGGTTAGATGCCTGAAATAAGTTCTGTGGTTAACACAAGCTTAAGAAATTTAACATTTTGTAACATATGAAATACCCCTCTCAAGAAATTTGAAGCTTTTATGCGTCTTTAAAAAGGCGGTTGCTAACAGGTGGCTAAATGAGACCACTGGTCCGCCTTTGGCTTCGTGGTGGTTACGTGAAACCGTGCGGTCGTGGTGTAGTTTGTTTATAGCCTAGCACCTCAGGAATACGTCATCCTTGCAGCACTGTATTACCACCTGGCAGAGATCTGTATTCAGATTTACATTGGGGACCAGTGGGCAAAGACAGACAGAGCATTGGATTCATGAACAGATAGCGATGTAGCAGTATCCGTTGTGTCTGGGGCTGTTTGAAAATAGCCCAAAAATGCCCCAAGTGATGTCTGCAAGGTTGGTAACAGGATCTAGCTGGCAGGCTCTCCTGGTGTGGTCATCAGTGTCTGCTCTCCCTGTTCCTTCACCGCAGAGAAGAGGACAGACAGAGGTCACCAGGCAGCAGGGGATAGAAGTTTCCAAACTGACTTTTTTTTTGACGCAGTCTCAGCCTAAGTGAAAGAGGGAGCAGTCTGCCCTGTCACTTATTTGCACATTAGGAACAATATTCCAGACAAAACACACACTGCCCATGTGTCCCTGCAAATGGATGTGGCAGACTAATATTAATATGCTGGTAAAGCCACAATCTACCCGCCATAAATCAGCACTTTGTCAAACATTATCAATGTAATTACTCTCGCACTGCCTTTGAATATGATGCAGGCCTGCTTGCAATTTGAATCATCATAAATAACCTAAACAGTCTGTCAACTTCACTTCATTATAACGTCCTGTTCATGGGGATTGTTAATGCTGCCCTCTCTCCAAAGTGACTCATGTGGCTGTGGCACCTCTGCTTACTGCCTGGATGCTGTCCGGCAAGAGCAAGGTTTGCACTAACGGGTCTCAAGATGACAGAGACGGGGGAGGTGGAGAAGAAAGAAGGTGTGATGAAACACTTTCCTTTGACGGGGGTGGAAGATTAAACAACAAAAAGATCCAAATCAGCAATCAGCTAAAAAACTCTCCAATCTCAAAAATCTTTCATCTCAACTCCCGTGTTTGTCTGTGTATAAGCATGTGCAATGCGGGTATGTGCTGCATGTGTGTGCACAGGCACTGTGTGCATATCTGAGTGTGCTGCTATCTTCCCCTATCTTGATCTATGCACAAAGACTAAAAAATACAGAAACAGAGAGAGTGGGAGGATGAGAATTGAGTTCCCTGACTGTGAACGCCAAGCAGTTGAATAAAGATTGAATAAAGACTGAACTCATTTTAAATGTGTGCATTCATATTTTTAATGTTGGTGTAACAGGGAGCTAGGAAGGTGCGCATTTCCATATCCAGGTTATGTAAACCATTATTTCCCATGTGGCAGGGTAAATACCCGATGGGGTTTCTTGGGAGGCTGCGATTCCTATGAATTGTAATGCCTCTGTCTGGTCCCTGTGTCTCTTCTATGGGAGAATTAGCAAGGTGATGCTCGGTCTCACTCTGCATATTTCAGAGCCCCTTTCAATACGTCCTCTTTACCTCTTTCCATTCCTTTAAGCTTTTCCCTCACTCTGGGGCTTAATGAGCTGTGCTCTCTTGTTGTGATTGGCAGCCAGATGTGCTGTCGCCACTGCCAATGCTTGTGTGTGACGCAAGCACACCAGCTCACACATTGCTGGCCATTGCCAGCTCATCAAAACAGTAACGATGCCCAAGTGTCTCTGTTGTCCCATCCGACTCTCATCTCTCCCACCACCAACTGTCCTATTCCTCAGTGCTCCCTCCCTTCTTTTCTCTTTCCCATGTTGCCCCGCCGGCATCTCCTCTGAAGTTGCACAGTGTCGGGCCTCATGTTCTGCGCAGGGAACCTCAGATGTGTGATCAATAGGAATCTTTAGATCTGCTATTGAGCGAACGAATAAGTGAAGCAGTGAGACGCACGTTACCGTGTTCCCCGTAGCATCTCCCTTGGCTAACGATGGCAGACAAACTGCGACGCAAAGGGTTGCAAAAAAAACAACAGCAACAACAGAGAAGCCCATTATGGTGTGGAGGTGGAACATACTGCACGGCTTCATCAAGCACTAAAGCACTGCTGAGACCAGAGAAGAGGTGCTCAGACCAAGAGAGGGAGAGAGTAGGAAATGAAGGCAAAAAGAATTGCACGTCAGTGGGTGGCAAGGAAAAAATGTTAAGTGGGTAAGAAAAAATGTAAACAAACTAAATCTGAGAAAGTGGAGACAACGAAGGTGAGGACAGAAAGGAGAGCGACAAAGGAGGAAAGACAAAGAGGAGAGAAGCCGCATGGTGCCAAGTCCTTGGTGAAGGACACTATGACGTGTCCCTTCTTCTAATGACTCCTACATCTGTTAAATTATTCTGCATACTCTGCTGGGGCAGTAGTTCAGAATGACCCCCATCATGAGGGCTTGAGCCTCACCATACCTCGTCAGTATTTTCTCCTCCTATATGGAGCTGCATCCCTTGGCCCCACGACCCAAGTATCCAACCCCAGCACTCCCAGCCACAGCTGCATCTCAGCCCCGGCCTCTGCTCTTGACCAGGTAGCCCAGAACCGAGCTTTAAGCAGATGGTCCCCCTTGGTTGACTAATGAGAGCTGGCTGAGCATGTGCTGCGAAAGATTCATGACCTGCTGAGAAGGCTGCCTTCTCATTCTGCCTTGCCCGTTCCTTTTTTATTCCTTTTTATTATTTTCTTTATTATCTCACACTGGCTTCCTCTAACTCCCTGCTGCTCTCCCTTTTTTTCCATTTAGAACCTTAACAGCCATGAATTTCCCTGAAAAATGCAGAACTGAACTTGTTCTCAGTTTTCCTCCTCTTTAGCCTTTCACTTTCCTCTCCGTTAAACAGGGGGAAGCAGGTAAGCCCATGGGCCCTACAATTGCAGGGTGTGAATCGAGGTTCTACATGTGAAGAGACAGAAGCAGGCAGTCACAACAGGTCTAATTGTTGCCAGCGTAGGAGTCAATGGGGCAGAGAGAGAGAGAGAGAGAGAGAGAGAGAGAGAGAGAGAGAGCGATGCTGTCCTCCTGACTGGAGCAGCTTCCTCTCTCCAGGGAGGAGGGAGAAGTGTCAGCTGAGATGCTGAGAGTTCATCTCTCCTGCCACCTGTACAGTAATTGTCCTCTATTCTGTCACTGGGATTACACCAGGCAAGGGCATGCAAATGAGGAGCTGAAAATTGGCAGCCTAAAAGTCAAGAGCGGGAAAACATCAAAGTTTGGCAAGGTATGTGGTATAATTTCCATAATAAAAGCAACAGCAGAAATTGAACTGAAATAAGCTTTTTCTTGAAAAAAGAAAAGTGAAGTTTGAGAGTTGATTAAGGTGAATATCATACTAAAGCCTTTGTGTATATTTACCTGATAGTGCATCAGAGTGTTGAGCCTCTTCCAGTCATTTTCTATCTTGGTGGTGATGTCTTCGTCCTGCAACACCACACGAGCCATTCGCCCCTGGCGCCACTCTGAGGACACAGACACATTCTAAATTATAGACAGCTGCCTTTGCAAACTTTGCCACAAAGAATGTTATTTGTCTTGGTTTTCCTGTGGAGAGGTTTGGTGTCACGTTTTAAACATGTACAACTTGAAAACACCATGTGTTCAAGACGCACATCTGCTTTGAATGAACATGCGGGTAATACTGTGGTGTGTGGGCTCCATTCAACGCCTTCAGGACCGGTTACCTTGCAAGGCAATTGTGAAGTGTGCTAAAATAAACCTACGTTCTCACATCACACAAAACACACTCTTTAAACACTTCTCTTTCAAACCTCATTCACCTTTCAGTCGGTGGAACGTCAGACTACATGAGTCCCAAAGAGAGCTCTCTTCACACATTACCCGGATGAGTCGATACCAGCAGCCGGCGTTCTTGTACGGCTCCCGGCAAGCGTTTTCCTCTCATAGACTTGGATTGACACGCATCTTAATTAAACATTACACAAAAACGATTTCAAGATGTATATGCAGGCAGCCTGCACGCCTTAATTGGTACTTGTGTCGTGGAAACGGCGCGCTATTAGCATACGCCACAGTCGGCCCGTCAGGGTCAGAAAGAAGAGAAGAGTGGAGCAGAGAAGAGAGGATGAAAATACTGTCAATGAAAAAATCAGCTCCTTTGAAAAGGAGAAAATTGGAAGCAGGGGAGAAACAGGTGGAGGCTATAAGCAGCACTGGTGGAGGGCAGTGGCTGACACCTCATTGCGGGTTAATGATATGAAGCTTAGCTGAAGTTCAGACAGGAAGACTCTCTTTACACGCCCTTTTTATTCATAATATCTCCGTCTCTCTCTCCCTGTGATTATACTCGATCAGCTGATTTTGGGCATTCGCCTTCAGAAAACTAACCAGATTCTGCACAATTTCCTGAAGCCAATCACATCGTTGCTGTCAAACTTTAAAAAATTGTTCTACTCTCTGCTGCTGTCAGTTGTCATTGCAACACAATCAGATGCAACCCGTCTCCAACCCGGCATCACAGTCATGCTCCTCATTCATCATCGGATTGCAGCAACTCCCTTCATCACCTGGACTCCAGATTATGCCTTATCTGACCTCAGCATCACTACTCCTCTATTATACTACTTCAGGATGGAGCCCAATCGCCAAAGACTTTGCACTATTCATTTCTTATGCATGTCTAATAAATTATTGTTCATTCTAATGACGTCTCTCCTGATTGAAATGATAATTAGGGTGTTGACGTGGAAGTGGACAGCCATTGTGGCTCTCATGCTGGGAGTGATCATTGATTTTCTCCACTGTTGACTGGGTTGTATTACTTTGCGCCTCTGCCAGGTGACCACATGATATCTCTGCCTGGCACAACATCCTCTCGAAACTGTCTTACTAGGGAGGCACCAATACCGATATGAGACCGAGACTGGCTCAAACAGCTGGATCGGGTATCTGTGACAATGGGGCCGATCTATTCAATTCTATGTTTACATACTATATACATTATACACTGGAATTTAAATTCCTGTTTAAGTTTTACCAATTGGTTGCTGCATAAAAAGGTTTACACTTAAATTGAAATTAATTTTTTTTCACAAAATTGCTGGTGTACAATTTATTATTTTAATAATAGATTAATTCAGCAAATAAATATATACAGAGTATATATATGTATAGATGTATATATATACATCAGTGAAAGGGTGAGAAATGGATAGAGGAGAACAAGAGAGAGGACAGTGGATGGATGGAGAGCAATATTGTGGAGTGATGGCCGGCGTGCTGATTTGCCAGAAAGTGGGAGGGGTCCTTTTGTTCTCTCCACCCATGTGAAGTGAGAGAAAATGAGAGGGACAGGGAAATGAGAGGCAAGGTACGGACAGGCGAGGATGGAAGTGGCAGACTGCGTGGGTGGTGGAGCCCGGCGTGAGGCTGGCGAGCCTGTCTGTCAGCTCTTACCTGGTCGGACAGCCACGTCACAGACGCAACAGCACACAAACATACAGACATGCACACTTCTCTATCTCGATCTACTGTGTCTTATTGGCACTACCAGGCAGCAGAAGCAGCCAGACGGAGGGCTGCAGCGCACACCGTCAGTCAGCTTGATAGAAGACCTGGCAGCAGCTAACTGAGGCTGGCTGGCTGGGCTGCTGGAACACAGCTTTTATCACACTAATGCACTGATAATCTGTACACATGGCTAGGTTTTCTCCCACTGATACATTAATCTGTGGGTGTGAAGGAATTTAAACCTGCCAACTGCATTTGTGAGCATCTGAATTGTTCGTGTGTGTGTGTGTGTGTGTGTGTGTGTGTGTGTGTGCAGGTGGTTGCAAGTGTGTGTGTTTCATACCGAGGTCCATGTCGACGGCACGTGGACGCTGAGAATAGGGCATGTTCTTGTAAACCGCGTCCAGTATCTTCTCCTTCACTTGGGTGATGGTGTCACAGTTGAGCGTCTTAACCGGAATCTCTGGACTGTTCTCATTGTCTGGGTTCACACAGTTCAGGGTCTGGATTGTACAAATGGGGAGAAGGGGAGCGAGAATAAGACAGAACAATCACAGAAGGAAATGAGTGAGCACAGGAAGAGGTGTCCTGCTCCAGCCGGACTTGGGTCCAGCTTGAGGCTTCGCCCTCATTAGAGCCTCCTTGGAGCATGGCAGGAGCTTTGAGAAACCATTTCCGCCCTCACTGGCATCTCAAAATCTAATTTCACACCTTCGGCGGGACACCAATTTCCAGCTCTGCCAGGGTATTAGCACGTAATGAGCTAAATTCCCAGTCAGAGCAATCAGAGCATTGTCATGTCACATGCTGGCTGTGTGAGTTTTATTTGTGTGTGTGCATGTGTGTGTAGAGGAGGCTGTGTGGTGTGTTCCAATCTCCACAGCCAGCTACCCTGATGTTGGACCAACACTTGAGCCTGTGGGATCATTAGTTCATTTTAACACAGCAGAAACAGCTATGCTATCTTGAAAATGATTTGTGGTGAAAAAGTAAAGAAGAAGAACTGTATGCTATTAGAGCAAGAAAGTTTGTGCTTTTGTGTACGTGAGTGTATTTCACACAGTCGAGAGCTGCATGTACTGTACAGTAGTAGTGGTAGTCGTATGGCTCTGCCTGTGTGTTTGTGCATATCGGTGAGCCTCACGGAGTGTGACGTACCAAGGTTTTGTACTCGATCTGCTGGCGGATGAGCTTGTCTTCACTAAGGGAGTAGCGGGCCTCTCCAGTGATGGCGTCGATGGGCCCCTTTTCCATCTGCTGCTTGATGGCGCAGTACAGCATGAACAGAGGCTCCCCAGCACACTCCTGTGAACACACACACACACACACACACACCGACAGACACAACCCACAGATTCACACATGAGAGAACATCACAGCATAAACACACAAAAAACTTAGAAAACACCTAACACGAAAACACGTAAATATCTGATCACGCGCAATCACACTTTTAATTTAGAAAATGAATAAGATACCCAGAATAGCTTTATATTTGTACGTGTCATCACATACAAACACACACTACATGTGTTGCTACTTGGTGTACCGACCTTGAGGAATTTGTGGAGGAGGAAGGCGAACCAGTTTGTAAGCATCTTCTCTGCAACCGACTCCGTTCTGAAATCACAAATATATATATATATATATATTTTTTTTTTTGAAAGGAGAAAAGCAAAATTGAACTCCATTCTTTCTCTTGATATTCCAAAACCTTTAGATAATACTAGAGTTGCATAATTCATGAGGTTATGTGCAAGACTTCAGGGAGGTTATCTTGGCATCCTGGGTGGGTGCATCCTGGCGTTTGGTTGTGTTTGTGGAACTCTGTGGTCACAGTGAGTGAGCAGAACAGAGGCGAGCAGAGAGAGGGCATCTGTGTGTGCTTGGACATGTTAAAAAGAGTGTGTGATTGAGTATGTCTGGATGTGAGCGTGAGATGTGTGTGTGTGTGTGTGTGTGTGTGTGTGTGTGTGTGTATTCACGTGTGGTTGAACACAGCGGGACATCAGCAGCTGCGACAAGCCTCAGCTGTTGAGAGAGACGAGTGCTGTCACAGCCAGGTAACGCCTGATCACAGCCAAAACGATCTCCTCTCTTCCCCTCTCATGTCCCTCTCTTCCACCTCCCCTACCTCGCATCCCTTCCCAGTCAATCACACACGGAGCTACAGCTTGCTGCCGGGCTTGATTGGGCATGAAAACACACAAGTGTGCAATGACCTCTCGACTGTTTCTACCGCAGAGCACATGAGAGGACTGTGTGTGTGTGTGTGTGTGTACCTCGTTTTTGATTCCTGCTCATATCTTTTTTATCTGAATGCCAGACAATCACCCCCCACCCTCCTCTGCCTCATTAGCACCATCATGTAACACTAGAGAAACAGAGGTTGAATTTAAAAATAAAAAAAATAAAATAAGGCAGAACACCAAACAGCCAGGTGGGAATGGTTAACTAACATGAAGCACAGATGAAAGGGTTAGTTCTGTGCAGCTCGTGTGTACAAGCACCTGAGGTGAATAGCGACAACAAGCTCATCTTTTAAAAACGCTTCTGTCTGCTCTTTTGCGTTCCTCGTTTGACACCAATAACCAAACTGCTTTGGATTGGAAATTAATTTTACCAGCTCGCTTTTGGTCCACACACCATCATCACTTTCAATACTACCGGCTAGCTCCAACAAAGTCAACAACAAGGAGCTATTGCACGAGAACTGCAAGGGGAGAAAGAGGAGGGAGTGTGGTGGTGTATGGATGACCATAAGCAGGTTACTATTATTTATAATGCTGGACAGTGAGGATACATTTCATACAGGGGATGAGAGAGGATCTACCGATGCACATTCACCCAGGGGAGGTTCCCATATATATATACGGTATATATATATATATATATATACCGTATATATATAT